ATTAGCAGCAGTATGTTTACATCTGTACATTAGCAGCAGTATGTTAGCATCTGTACATTAGCAGCAGTATGTTTACATCTGTACATTAGCAGCAGTATGTTAGCATCTGTACATTAGCAGCAGTATGTTAGCATCTGTACATTAGCAGCAGTATGTTTACATCTGTACATTAGCAGCAGTATGTTTACATCTGTACATTAGCAGCAGTATGTTTACATCTGTACATTAGCAGCTGTATGTTTACACCTGTACATTAGCAGCAGTATGTTTACATCTGTACATTAGCAGCAGTATGTTTACATCTGTACATTAGCAGCTGTATGTTTGCATCTGTACATTAGCAGCAGTATGTTTACATCTGTACATTAGCAGCAGTATGTTTACATCTGTACATTAGCAGCAGTATGTTTACATCTGTACATTAGCAGCAGTATGTTAGCATCTGTACATTAGCAGCAGTATGTTTACATCTGTACATTAGCAGCAGTATGTTTACATCTGTACATTAGCAGCAGTATGTTTACATCTGTACATTAGCAGCAGTATGTTTACATCTGTACATTAGCAGCAGTATGTTAGCATCTTTACATTAGCAGCAGTATGTTAGCATCTGTACATTAGCAGCAGTATGTTAGCATCTGTACATTAGCAGCAGTATGTTTACATCTGTACATTAGCAGCAGTATGTTTACATCTGTACATTAGCAGCAGTATGTTAGCATCTGTACATTAGCAGCAGTATGTTAGCATCTGTACATTAGCAGCAGTATGTTTAGCATCTGTACATTAGCAGCAGTATGTTAGCATCTGTACATTAGCAGCAGTATGTTTACATCTGTACATTAGCAGCAGTATGTTTACATCTGTACATTAGCAGCAGTATGTTTACATCTGTACATTAGCAGCAGTATGTTTACATCTGTACATTAGCAGCAGTATGTTTACATCTGTACATTAGCAGCAGTATGTTTACATCTGTACATTAGCAGCGTATGTTTACATCTGTACTGTACATTAGCATCTGTACATTAGGCAGCAGTATGTTTACATCTGTACATTAGCAGCAGTATGTTATGTTTAGCATCTGTACATTAGCAGCAGTATGTATGTTTTTACATCTGTACATTAGCAGCAGTATGTTTACATCTGTACATTAGCAGCTGTATGTTTACATCTGTACATCTGTTATGCAGCAGTATGTTTACATCTGTACATTAGCAGCAGTATGTTTACATCTGTACATTAGCAGCAGTATGTTTGCATCTGTACATTAGCAGCAGTATGTTTACATCTGTACATTAGCAGCAGTATGTTTACATCTGTACATTAGCAGCAGTATGTTTACATCTGTACATTAGCAGCAGTATGTTTACATCTGTACATTAGCAGCAGTATGTTTACATCTGTACATTAGCAGCAGTATGTTTACATCTGTACATTAGCAGCAGTATGTTTACATCTGTACATTAGCAGCAGTATGTTTACATCTGTACATTAGCAGCAGTATGTTTGCATCTGTACATTAGCAGCAGTATGTTTAGCATCTGTACATTAGCAGCAGTATGTTTACATCTGTACATTAGCAGCAGTATGTTTACATCTGTACATTAGCAGCAGTATGTTTACATCTGTACATTAGCAGCAGTATGTTTACATCTGTACATTAGCAGCAGTATGTTTACATCTGTACATTAGCAGCTGTATGTTTACATCTGTACATTAGCAGCAGTATGTTTACATCTGTACATTAGCAGCAGTATGTTTACATCTGTACATTAGCAGCAGTATGTTTACATCTGTACATTAGCAGCAGTATGTTTACATCTGTACATTAGCAGCAGTATGTTTACATCTGTACATTAGCAGCAGTATGTTTACATCTGTACATTAGCAGCAGTATGTTTACATCTGTACATTAGCAGCAGTATGTTTACATCTGTACATTAGCAGCAGTATGTTAGCATCTGTACATTAGCAGCAGTATGTTTACATCTGTACATTAGCAGCAGTATGTTTACATCTGTACATTAGCAGCAGTATGTTTACATCTGTACATTAGCAGCAGTATGTTTACATCTGTACATTAGCAGCAGTATGTTTACATCTGTACATTAGCAGCAGTATGTTTACATCTGTACATTAGCAGCAGTATGTTTACATCTGTACATTAGCAGCAGTATGTTTACATCTGTACATTAGCAGCAGTATGTTTACATCTGTACATTAGCAGCAGTATGTTTACATCTGTACATTAGCAGCAGTATGTTTACATCTGTACATTAGCAGCAGTATGTTTACATCTGTACATTAGCAGCAGTATGTTTACATCTGTACATTAGCAGCAGTATGTTTACATCTGTACATTAGCAGCAGTATGTTTACATCTGTACATTAGCAGCAGTATGTTTACATCTGTACATTAGCAGCAGTATGTTTACATCTGTACATTAGCAGCAGTATGTTTACATCTGTACATTAGCAGCAGTATGTTTACATCTGTACATTAGCAGCAGTATGTTAGCATCTGTACATTAGCAGCAGTATGTTTAGCATCTGTACATTAGCAGCAGTATGTTTACATCTGTACATTAGCAGCAGTATGTTTACATCTGTACATTAGCAGCAGTATGTTTACATCTGTACATTAGCAGCAGTATGTTAGCATCTGTACATTAGCAGCAGTATGTTAGCATCTGTACATTAGCAGCAGTATGTTTACATCTGTACATTAGCAGCAGTATGTTAGCATCTGTACATTAGCAGCAGTATGTTAGCATCTGTACATTAGCAGCAGTATGTTTACATCTGTACATTAGCAGCAGTATGTTTACATCTGTACATTAGCAGCAGTATGTTTACATCTGTACATTAGCAGCAGTATGTTTACATCTGTACATTAGCAGCAGTATGTTTACATCTGTACATTAGCAGCAGTATGTTTACATCTGTACATTAGCAGCAGTATGTTTACATCTGTACATTAGCAGCAGTATGTTTACATCTGTACATTAGCAGCAGTATGTTTACATCTGTACATTAGCAGCAGTATGTTTACATCTGTACATTAGCAGCAGTATGTTTACATCTGTACATTAGCAGCAGTATGTTTACATCTGTACATTAGCAGCAGTATGTTTACATCTGTACATTAGCAGCAGTATGTTTACATCTGTACATTAGCAGCAGTATGTTTACATCTGTACATTAGCAGCAGTATGTTTACATCTGTACATTAGCAGCAGTATGTTTACATCTGTACATTAGCAGCAGTATGTTTACATCTGTACATTAGCAGCAGTATGTTAGCATCTGTACATTAGCAGCAGTATGTTTACATCTGTACATTAGCAGCAGTATGTTTACATCTGTACATAGCAGCAGTATGTTTGCATCTGTACATTAGCAGCAGTATGTTTACATCTGTACATTAGCAGCAGTATGTTTGCATCTGTACATTAGCAGCAGTATGTTTACATCTGTACATTAGCAGCAGTATGTTTACATCTGTACATTAGCAGCAGTATGTTTACATCTGTACATTAGCAGCTGTATGTTTGCATCTGTACATTAGCAGCAGTATGTTTACATCTGTACATTAGCAGCAGTATGTTAGCATCTGTACATTAGCAGCTGTGTATTGCACATTCTGGTATAAGATAAGGATATGAGAATGACACTGGAATCAGGTTGGCAGTGTTCATTGTTACGACCCGGCTCAGGTAGGTGTAAGGAAGTAACAAAATAACCAAGATGGTAGAATGGTAACTAAAATCATAATTTATTTAGGTGACAAAGTAGGTAAAACAAAATAGGATTAATATCTACATAACACACAGTAAATAAATACCCCATTAAAACAAGTAAGCAATTGACAAAACCAAAAGTGTAACCTAAACTAAAGTGTCTCAACATAAACTAAACAGGTCACTGAACTAAGGTACCGACACAAGTGACAGAACACAGACAAAACTAATGGCGAACTGGAGTCCACTGACTCCAGCTGCCCTGAGCCGCGGAAGATTGGCAGTTTATAAGGGCGGGTCCTCCAGGTGAGCGCATGCTGATTGGAGGCCTGCCTCAGCTGCTGCCCAATCAGCACCCAGGCATCGCGGTCAATCAGCTCCAGGTGGGGAATGACTGGCCAATAGGAGCCCAGGACTCACAAGCGTGATCTTCTGAAAAAAGGGAGGAAACACAACCACACAGAGACACCACGGGAGAAACTAAAGTAATCCCCAAAATAGGGAATTACGGGCCGTGGGCTGTAACATTCATTAGTCCTTATTGTTTGTTGTACAGTCTGACAGTAGCAGGAAGGAAAGACCTGCAGAACCTCTCCTTCACACAGCGAGGGTGAATAAGTCTATCACTGAAGCTGCTGTCTATTTACTACTACTACTACTACTACTACTACTATATACTACTTCTACTGCTACTACTACTATACTACTACAACTACTACTATATAATGCTACTACTTCTACTATATACTACTACTACTACTACTACTACTACTACTACTATATACTACTTCTACTGCTACTACTACTATACTACTACAACTACTACTATATAATGCTACTACTTCTACTATATACTACTACTACTACTACTACTACTACTACTACTACTATATACTACTTCTACTGCTACTACTACTATACTACTACAACTACTACTATATAATGCTACTACTTCTACTACTACTACTACTACTACTACTAGGTCTTTCATCTCTGCTGCTGTCAGACTGTACAACGAGAACTGCTGAGTCGTGTTTTTGTGCCCATCCTCAGTGCAGTGGCTTCAGTCTGTAGAAACAGTTTTGAAGGATTTGTTTAGATTTGTGGAAAAACAACTAATACTAGCTCCAGATACGAAGAAACTTTCAAAGTATTGCACCGAGGTCAGGTCTGCAGGGTTTGTTAGTCCTCATTGTTCGTTGTACAGTCTGACTGGTTACCATGGTGATGCCCCTAACCCTGTCCCTCTGCTCACAGACTGGTGCTTCTACAGACCAGGAAACCAGACCAGCACCTGGTGAACCTCTACCTGCTGGAGGAGGCTGAGCACCTCATCCTAAGGCCCTGACCCTGGTCCTGGTCCTGGTCCTGACCCTCCACCTGGTCCTGGTCTTGATCCTGGTCCTGAACTCTCTACCTGGTCCTGACCCTCCACCTGGTCTTGGTCCTGGTCCTGGTCCTGACCCTCCACGTGGTCCTGGTCTTGGTCCTGGTCCTGGCCAATGACCTGGTCTTATACAATACAATACAATACAATACAATGTATTCTTGTATAGCCCTAGGTCACAACAGAAGTCATCTCAGAGACTTAACAAAACCATTGAAATCACCAACACAGGTCAGAGAATCAACAGTTAAAACACATGAAGAATATAAAGCACACACAGAAGAAAATGTCCATACATGTTGTAGAATGCTAAAGTGTCCTGATCATCACCAATCCTTTCTGTTGGACACTAACTGTCCAACAAGACCCTCCTGCATCCACAAGGAACAACTCTTAAAAAACCCAGTGGGAAAAAGTGAGAAACCTTGGGGAGAACTAGGGAAACCCACAGGGAGGGAGACCCATATGAGAAAGGGATCCGCTCCTCCGGACGGACAGACTAATGATCTAGGACCTAAGCTAGCTACAGGACGTGGACCAGTGGACGCTGAACGTGGACAGGTCCGGTGCAGGACTGAAGCACTCCCAGGCGGGTCGGGCGGGGCAGTCCGCAGGTGTAGATGGAGGAGGCCAGGCTCAGAGATCCCGTCATCGTACCATGAATCTGTGTGGAGTGAGAGATAAATGCCCAAAATTAACAATTGTAAACCGCTTTGAGACTCAGATCTGTAGTGAAAAGGCGGTATATAAATAAAAGATTACTTACTTACTTACTTACTGACCCTCCACCTGGTCCCGGTCCTGACCCTCCACCTGGTCCTGGTCCTGGTCCTGACCCTCCACCTGGTCCTAGTCCTAGTCTTGGCCCTCCACCTGGTCCTGGTCCTGGTCCTGACCCTCCACCTGGTCCTAGTCCTAGTCTTGGCCCTCCACCTGGTCCTGGTCCTGGTCCTGACCCTCCACCTGGTCCTGGTCCTGGTCCTGACCCTCCACCTGGTCCTAGTCCTAGTCTTGGCCCTCCACCTGGTCCTGGTCCTGGTCCTGACCCTCCACCTGGTCCTGGTCCTGGTCCTGACCCTCCACCTGGTCCTAGTCCTAGTCTTGGCCCTCCACCTGGTCCTGGTCCTGGTCCTGACCCTCCACCTGGTCCTGTGTGGTCAGAGAGGTGGCGTGGAGGTGACGTCACTAACAGACTGTGACCGTTCTAACATTTGCACACTAGAGGGCGGTGTCGTTTCTCCCTTTTATCTGAACTGTTTGTTTTGATACATTTCTGTTTAAATGTGAAAGTGTGAACTAATAAAAGTTGAAAACACACCGGAAACAGAAGGTGTTTGTTCTGTGCACGTGCGTGTTCACTGATGACGCAACTGTCGTCATCAGGTCCTGATGCTTCTGTCCGCGGGATCTTTTCTCCTGAAGGATCCAGGACATTTATGGACCAATGTCTGTGTTTTACATCTTTGCTTTTCCAGGGTTTGATTTTCTGTGTTGGAGAATTCAAAGGTTTTGTAAAGTCCCAGAGAAAACTACTGTTGTGATTTAGAGCAATACAAAATAGGGAGCCCCAGCCTGAGCCGCTGTCCTGCGCGCAACCCCCCCCCCCCAGCCCCCCCAGCCCCCCCGATTGGGACTTTACGCATGACGCACAGTGACGCCTGCGCGCTGAGGCCGTGGATGAAGCGGAGGAGAGGATGCTGACTCCGGCTGCAGCGGCTCCATCCCACGGTGCTCGGTCGTAGTGTCGCGGCCACAGGACAACGATGCGCGCTGATGTGGACGTAAGGCCCGCTCCGCTGCGTGTGCGTGTGCGTGTGCGTGTAGCTCGTTTCCAGGTCTCAGCTCGGAGCGTGCGGCTGGTGCGGAGCAGCTGAAAATGGCCGGTGATGGCGGCGCGCTGAAGGAGATCAATGAGATTAAATCCCAGTTCCGCACCAGAGAGGGCTCCTACAAACTGCTCACACTCTCAGACTCCCAGCAGCGCGGGGGCCTGGCCCGGGGAGCCTCCGGGGCCTCCACACTGGGGCCCGTGACGGGGGCGGGGGGGGTCGGGCTGCTTCAAGGGCCAGGGACCACCGCGTCCTCCTCCAACCCCGGGACCAGCTCCTCTCCCACGGGCTTCCTGCCTCCGGTCCGGGTGTCCATGGTCAAGCTGCAGCCAGAGGACCCGGGGGAGGAGTCTGAGCGCGTGTGCTTCAACATCGGCCGCGAGCTCTACTTCTACACGTACACGAGCATCAAGAAGGTGAGCTACACGTGCACGAGCATCATGAAGGTGAGCTACAGAATGCAGACATCAGGAAGATTCAGGTCTCAGAAGGTTCAGGTCTCAGAAGGTCCAGACTCAGAAGGTTCAGGTCTCAGAAGGTCCAGACTCAGAAGGTCCAGGTCAGATGCTAACATTTGAACCAGTACATGGTCCAAATGGAGGGGATCACATGACTCTGACTGCATCAGAAACATATATTCATTCTTTGACATTTCATTCCATTTTCTTCCACTTTATCTGTTGCCGTGTCACGGGCAGCAGTCTGCACACACAGGCACTGGTTTGTTGTGTTGTTGCTTGGATACTGTGCCTTAATATTAAAGCAAAACAAAGAATGTAGAGAATATACACTTTTGGACAGAAACAAAACTTAGGACAGTTTGTGGGGGTGAAGAGGGTCCGATGTGTCCACACTGACCCACTGCCCCTGCCTCTGCCTCTGCCTCTGCCCCTGCCCCACCTCTGCCTCTCCCTCTGCCTCTGTCTCTGCCTCTGCCCCTGCCCCTGCCCCACCTCTGCCTCTGCCCCTGCCCCTGCCCCTGCCCTTGCCTCTGCCTCTGCCTCTGCCTCTGCCTCTGCCTCTGCCTCTGCCCCTGCCCCTGCCCCACCTCTGCCCCTGCCCCTGCCCCTGCCCTTGCCTCTGCCTCTGCCTCTGCCCCTGCCCCTGCCCCACCTCTGCCTCTGCCCCTGCCCCGCCTCTGCCCCTGCCCCACCTCCGCCTCTGCCCCTGACCCGCCTCTGCCTCTGCCCCTGCCCCTGCCCCACCTCTGCCCCTGCCCCTGCCCCACCTCTGCCCCTGCCCCTGCCTCTGGCTCTTCCCCTGCCCCTGCCCCTGCCCCGCCTCTGCCCCTGCCTCTGCCTCTGCCCCTGCCCCTGCCTCTGTCTCTGCCCCTGCCCCTGCCCCTGCCCCTGCCTCTGCCTCTGTCCTCTGTCTCTGCCTCTGCCTCTGCCCCTGCCCCTGCCCCACCTCTGCCCCTGCCCCGCCTCTGCCCCTGCCCCACCTCCGCCTCTGCCCCTGACCCGCCTCTGCCTCTGCCCCTGCCCCACCTCTGCCCCTGCCCCTGCCCCTGCCTCTGGCTCTTCCCCTGCCCCTGCCCCGCCTCTGCCTCTGCCCCTGACCCGCCTCTGCCTCTGCCCCTGCCCCTGCCCCACCTCTGCCCCTGCCCCTGCCCCTGCCCCTGCCCCTGCCTCTGCCTCTGTCTCTGCCTCTGCCTCTGCCCCTGCCCCTGCCCCTGCCCCACCTCTGCCTCTGCCCCTGCCCCGCCTCTGCCCCTGCCCCACCTCCGCCTCTGCCCCTGACCCGCCTCTGCCTCTGCCCCTGCCCCTGCCCCACCTCTGCCCCTGCCCCTGCCCCTGCCTCTGGCTCTTCCCCTGCCCCTGCCCCGCCTCTGCCTCTGCCCCTGACCCGCCTCTGCCTCTGCCCCTGCCCCTGCCCCACCTCTGCCCCTGCCCCTGCCCCTGCCTCTGGCTCTTCCCCTGCCCCTGCCCCTGCCCCGCCTCTGCCCCTGCCTCTGCCTCTGCCTCTGCCTCTGCCCCTGCCCCTGCCCCTGCCCCTGCCTCTGTCTCTGTCTCTGTCTCTGTCTCTGCCCCTGCCCCTGCCCCTGCCCCTGTCTCTGTCTCTGTCTCTGTCTCTGCCCCTGCCCCTGCCTCTGCCCCTGCCCCTGCCCCTGCCTCTGCCCCTGCCCCTGCCCCTGCCCCTGCCCCTGCCCCTGCCTCTGCCTCTGTCTCTGTCTCTGTCTCTGCCTCTGCCTCTGCCTCTGTCTCTGTCTCTGCCTCTGTCTCTGTCTCTGTCTCTGTCTCTGCCTCTGTCTCTGTCTCTGTCTCTGCCTCTGCCTCTGTCTCTGCCTCTGTCCTCTGTCTCTGCCTCTGTCCTCTGTCTCTGCCTCTGCCTCTGCCTCTGCCTCTGCCTCTGTCTCTGTCTCTGCCTCTGCCTCTGCCTCTGCCTCTGCCTCTGTCTCTGTCTCTGTCTCTGTCTCTGCCTCTGTCTCTGTCTCTGTCTCTGCCTCTGCCTCTGCCTCTGTCTCTGCCTCTGTCCTCTGTCTCTGTCTCTGTCTCTGTCTCTGCCTCTGTCTCTGTCTCTGTCTCTGCCTCTGCCTCTGTCTCTGTCTCTGCCTCTGTCTCTGTCTCTGTCTCTGTCTCTGTCTCTGCCTCTGTCTCTGTCTCTGTCTCTGCCTCTGCCTCTGCCTCTGTCCTCTGTCTCTGCCTCTGTCCTCTGTCTCTGCCTCTGCCTCTGCCTCTGCCTCTGTCTCTGTCTCTGTCTCTGCCTCTGCCTCTGTCTCTGTCTCTGTCTCTGTCTCTGTCTCTGCCTCTGTCTCTGCCTCTGTCTCTGTCTCTGCCTCTGTCCTCTGCCTCTGTCTCTGTCTCTGTCTCTGCCCCTGCCCCTGCCTCTGCCCCTGCCTCTGTCTCTGTCTCTGCCTCTGTCTCTGCCTCTGTCTCTGTCTCTGCCTCTGTCCTCTGCCTCTGTCTCTGTCTCTGTCTCTGCCCCTGCCCCTGCCTCTGCCCCTGCCCCTGCCCCTGCCTCTGCCTCTGTCTCTGTGTTTCTGTCCAGGCCGTAGACCTGAGTAAACCCATCGATAAGCGCATATACAAAGGCACGCAGCCGACCTGCCACGACTTTAACCAGTTTTCTGCCAGCGCTGACAGCGTGGCGCTCATCGTGGGCTTCTCTGCGGGACAAGTGCAGTACCTGGACCCCATCAAGAAGGAGACCAGCAAACTGTTCAACGAAGAGGTACCACCCCCACCCCCATGCCAGCCCTCATACTCACCCTCATACTCACCCTCATACCCACCCTCATACTCACCCTCATACTCACTCTCATACCCACCCTCATACCCACCCTCAAACTCACCCTCATACCCACCCTCATACTCACCCTCATACTCACCCTCATACCCACCCTCATACCCACCCTCAAACCCACCCTCATACCCACCCTCATACCCACCCTCATACCCACCCCCATGCCAGCCCTCATACTCACCCTCATACTCACCCTCATACCCACCCTCATACCCACCCTCAAACCCACCCTCATACCCACCCTCATACCCACCCTCATACCCAACCTCATACCCACCCTCATACCCACCCCCATGCCAGCCCTCATACTCACCCTCATACTCACCCTCATACCCACCCTCATACCCACCCTCAAACCCACCCTCATACCCACCCTCATACTCACCCTCATACCCACCCTCATACCCACCCTCATACCCACCCTCATACCCACCCTCATACCCACCCTCATACTCACCCTCATACCCACCCTCATACCCACCCTCATACTCACCCTCATACCCACCCTCATACTCACCCTCATACTCACCCTCATACCCACCCTCATACTCACCCTCATACTCACCCTCATACCCACCCTCATACTCACCCTCATACCCACCCTCATACCCACCCTCATACTCACCCTCATACTCACCCTCATACTCACCCTCATACTCACCCTCATACTCACCCTCATACCCACCCTCATACTCACCCTCATACTCACCCTCATACCCACCCTGATTATAAGAAACAAGATTCTGGTTTTTCTTATTATTTTTGCTTGTACATTTGTTTTTGTTCATGTGTTCATGTGTTCATGTGTTCATGAGTTCATGTGTTCATGAGTTCACGTGTTCACGTGTTCATGTGTTCATGAGTTCATGTGTTCGTCTGTTCATGAGTTCATGAGTTCATGTGTTCATGAGTTCATGAGTTCATGTGTTCATGTGTTCGTCTGTTCGTGAGTTCATGTGTTCATGTGTTCGTCTGTTCATGAGTTCATGTGTTCATGTGTTCGTCTGTTCATGAGTTCATGTGTTCATGTGTTCATGAGCTCATGAGTTCATGTGTTCATGAGTTCATGTGTTCATGTGTTCATGTGTTCGTCTGTTCATGAGTTAATGTGTTCATGTGTTCGTCTGTTCATGAGTTCATGTGTTCATGTGTTCATGTGTTCATGAGTTCATGAGCTCATGAGTTCATGTGTTCATGAGTTCATGTGTTCATGTGTTCGTCTGTTCATGAGTTCATGTGTTCATGTGTTCATGAGCTCATGAGTTCATGTGTTCATGTGTTCGTCTGTTCATGAGTTCATGAGTTTGTCTGTTCATGTGTTCATGTGTTCATGTGTTCATGAGTTCATGAGTTCATGAGTTCATGTGTTCATGTGTTCATGTGTTCGTCTGTTCATGAGTTCATGTGTTCATGTGGTCGTCTGCTCATGGGTTCATGTGTTCATGAGTTCACGAGTTCATGTGTGCATATGTTCATGAGTTCATGAGTTCATGTGTTCATGTGTTCGTCTGTTCATGAGTTCATGAGTTCATGTGTTCGTCTGTTCATGAGTTCATGTGTTCATGTGTTCATGAGTTTGTGTTCATGTGTTCATGAGTTAATGAGTTCATGTGTTCGTCTGTTCATGAGTTCATGTGTTCACGAGTTCACGAGTTCACGAGTTCATGTGTTCACGTGTTCACGTGTTCACGTGTTCATGTGTTCATGTGTTTATGTGTGTATGTGTGTATGTGTGTATGTGTGTATGTGTGTATGTGTTTATGTGTTTATGTGTTTATGTGTTTATGTGTTCATGTGTTCATGTGTTCATGTGTTCATGTGTTCGTCTGTTCATGAGTTCATGTGTTTGTCTGTTCATGGGTTCATGTGTTCATGAGTTAATGAGTTCATGTGTTTGTCTGTTCACGAGTTCATGTGTTCATGTGTTCATGTGTTCATGTGTTCATGAGTTCATGTGTTCATGTGTTCATGTGTTCATTGGATTTGACCCAAACAGTAAAAGTTTAGTTCAGGAATATATACCAGTTTAGGAACTTAAGATCAAACTTGTATAATGTTAAATAAAAGTATTATATATTGTATTTTATTATAAAGTGTTGAATAAACGTGTGTGTGTTGCAGAGACTGATCGACAAGTCCAAAGTCACGTGTCTGAAGTGGCTGCCCCAGTCCCAGAGCCTGTTCCTGGCGTCCCACGCCAGCGGACACTTGTACCTGTACAACGTGGAGCACTCGTGTGGGACCACCCCCCCCCAGTACTCGCTGCTGCGGCAGGGGGAGGGCTTCGCCGTCTACGCCTGCAAATCCAAAAGCCCCCGCAACCCGCTGCTGCGCTGGGCCGTGGGGGAGGGGGGGCTGAATGAGTTCTCCTTCTCCCCGGACGGTGTGCATGTGGCCTGCGTGGGGCAGGACGGCTGTCTGAGGGTCTTCCACTTCGACTCCATGGAGCTGCAGGGGGTCATGAAGAGCTACTTCGGGGGGCTGCTGTGCGTGTCCTGGAGCCCGGACGGGAAGTATCTGGCAACCGGCGGCGAGGACGATCTGGTCACGGTCTGGTCCTTCTCCGAGAGCCGCGTGGTGGCGCGAGGACACGGGCACAAGTCCTGGGTCAACGTGGTGGCCTTTGACCCCTTCACCACCTCCCTGGAGGACGAGGAGCCCATGGAGCTCAGCGGCAGCGAGGAGGACCTTCACCAGGGGGTGCCACACAACACCACACACTTTGGGCGAGTGCGGACCAGCAGCACGCTGTCGCACCTGTCCCACCACAGCTCCAGGGGGGGGGGCTCGGCCTCCGTCACCTACCGCTTCGGCTCCGTGGGACAGGACACACACTTCTGTCTGTGGGACCTCACAGACGACGTGCTGTACCCCCGCCTGCCCCTGTCCCGTGCCTTCACCAACACCTTCAGCCCCTCCCTGTCCAGCACCGCGGTCAGCTCAGGGGGCGGAGCTACGGCTGTGGAAGGCCATCACCACCCCCCCAACACCAACCCCCCCACCCTGCCCCTGCCTCTGCCCCGCTCCCTGTCCCGCTCTAACTCCCTGCCCCATCCCGCCGTGGCCAACGCCTCCAAGAGCCAGGGCTCTGAGGGGGGGGCCTGCAGTGGGGGGGGCAGTGGGGGCGGGGCCAACAACAGCATCACCCCCTTCAGCATCGGGCGCTTTGCCACGCTGTCCCTGCAGGAGCGCAAGAGCGACAAGTCCAGCGTGGAGAAGGAGCACAAGCGCTACCACAGCCTCGGCAACATCAGCAAGAGCAACGACAAGATCAACGTGGCCCCCAGGAGCCAGCGCCTGGACGCCGCCAAGGTCCTGGGGACCACCCTGTGTCCCCGCCTGCACGAGGTGCCGCTACTGGAGCCGCTGGTCTGTAAGAAGATCGCCCACGAGAGGCTCACGGTGCTGGTCTTTATGGACGACTGCATCATCACGGCCTGTCAGGAGGGCCTCATCTGCACATGGGCCCGGCCCGGCAAGACGGTGAGGGGGGGGGGGTCTCTTTCTGGTCTCCCTCTGGTCTCTCTTTGGTCTCTTGTCTCTCTCTGGTCTCTCTCTGGTCTCTCTCTGGTCTCTCTCTGGTCTCTCTCTGGTCTCTCTCTGGTCTCTCTCTGGTCTCTCTCTGGTCTCTCTTTGGTCTCTCTCTGGTCTTTGGGTTTCCTGTTTCCTGTCACTGAGGATGAGCCCTTTGTGTTCACACTGAGGACCTGGTAACCATGGTGATTAGAGTACAGCTGGTCCAGCACCATGTGGGGCCGGCACCATGTGGGGCCGGCTCAAGCAGCCTCCAGATGATAAACACCTCCATCTTTGACAGTAAATAAAATGACCTGTTTTTGTTTTTCCTGCAGAATGTGGCTGCACAGAATGGCAGCTCCCCCAGTGGCACGGTGGTGTAACTGCAGGACAGACGGACACCACCAGCCTCTGCTCGGGCCGCCCCCCACCAGACCGGCCCCCACCAGACTGTGTCAGGCCGGCCCCCACCAGACCGGCCCCCACCAGACTCTGTCAGACCCCCCCCCCTCCTGTACTAAGGCAGTGACTGGTTTACTGCTGTCAGAATCATTTAAAACTGCGTCACAAAACACAACAGAAAATAAACAAACTCTGGATAAAGCTGAGGTACCTGACTTTCTCATTGGCCTCTGTCACACTTTAGATTTTTCACAAAAGTGACTCACAGTATTGATAAATAAAGTTAGGTAACCCAGCTTTAATGTGATCCACCTTTTCTTTCACAGACACAGCTGCATGAAATAAAAACATGAAATCCTACAAATACATGTTTATTACCACGGACCAGTATGCAGCTAAGCAGGGCAGGGCCTGGTTAGTGCTGTGATGGGAGACTTCTGAAGCTAAACAGGGCAGGGTCAGGAGGGTCTGGGGTCTTTTTTCACTAAGAAACATGATCAAATTGTGTGTAAGTGATTTCAAACCATTTTAAGTTTTAAACTTTTTAGTAAGTGGCCACTTTAGTTCATGAGACTTGACCTGGATTTAAAAAACTGGATTTGTGCTGGACTGACTGGATTCTGGAATTAAAAATGTGTCATGATAGGTCCTGCTGGATCACACCACAGCTGTCAGTAAATAACAACAGAATCAACGACTGTATTCCAGAGGCTCTGAGGTTCACAACACGGTACGGCAGGACTGTGTTGTGGAGCTGAAGTTGGTTGGATGACACTGTCAAAGTGCCTCAATGACGACTTTGTGTCAGCAGCAGAAGGGCCACATACAATGGCACAGAGGGTCCCAATTGGCCCGCAGGCCTGAGTTTGGACATGCCTGT